AGAGGGGACATGGTCACACGCTTCAAGTATATCTAAGGGATGTGGTGAAGATTAATTATTGCCTACATTCTTTGAAGATGTAAAGCACAGTAGAAATGCCAAGGATGGTTAGCACATGGAACATGGAAATCACTGAAAGACCATGAAAGCTCATGCTGCCATTTTTTACAGTCACTTTTCAAACTGCATTTCAAGGGCGTGGCATGTGTTAAAATTAGATTTTACGCATAGGGAGCTATACAAAGCATTTTACCAGTAGCGACACACTTGTGATGTGAAATCTAGCTATAGACACATTCTTCATTCTTGGCTCATATCAGCGGTTTTGAGGAGGGAAAATGAAATGCAGAGACTCTTGATGTATTAACAAGTCTGGAAAAAAACCTCATTCTCTGATATTCTGGGCAGGAAATGTTAGTTTTTGATCTATATAAAAGAAGAGTTACATTCAACAAAGCCAGTATTAAATTCCTGTAATTACAAGTCAATGCAAGTCAATTTAGATGATAACAGAGCTGGAAATTAATAAAGGTAATTTAGATAGAGTCCTTGTGTTTTTGATCAACATAACCCTATATACAGGAGCAGGTCTGAGTCTTAACATGATGAAGTAACAAGATGAAGCATTCTAAGATCTCCAGAACAAAGAAAAAGTTCAAGTTCATATTGTACTTTATTGTGTGATAAAGTCAACCTCTCAGCATACATGCACACACACACACAACAAGTTCAGTCCAGCACTAAATATTAATGCTCTCCTCCTCCACTTTTATTTTTCATCAGTACAGTCCCCCGGGTACCTGATGAAGCTGCTGAAAGGCAAGTTACTGTTTTTTAATTATTTTACACACAGGCCATTAAAATTAATCTAAAAATGTATTAATAGCTATATCAGCTAAAACATCCTTGGGCTGCAATGTATGAAAAAAATAAAGTTCAGAGAGATCACATAAAAAAGGAATACAAATAAATTAAAAACTAAAAGAACTAAGTACAAAACTCCCCTTGAATATTTGTTTTGTGTAATATTTAAAAGCCTTGATCTCAAAGAGGGAAAGGAATGTAGTTAAGTTTTTCCACACTGTTAAATGTCACCATGATCCCGGTAATTCTTTGCTTCTTTTGTCACTTCCTTGTTAAGTCAAAGTTATGATGCACTTGACACTGCCAACTTTTTCAGATGATCCATGAACACCTGGAGACTAACATCATCTGTTAGGATGGGAGATCCTGATTCCTACAATAATATAAAATAAATTAGTAAATAACTGTAAGAACAAAGCAAACATGGTTACCACTAGGACTGTTCTGAAAGGATGTCAGGCTTCAGTGCCCTATCCTAATTGCCCGCTAAATCAATTGCATAAGGATATATTGGGAAGAAGCTGCTTGGTAACAAAAGCAACAATAAAATTCCATATTGTGGATTCCCAAAAGAATATATAGTAATTAAATATTTATTATTATTCATGAAGCAACCTGTGTATCCCTGCCCTGGAGAGTTTACATGGACAAAATAAAGGTAGAGGAAGAATGGAGAGTGACAAAATCAAGCACACTGTATATTCAGATGCGGTACCCTTATACCTGGGTGGATTGATTCATTTATTATTAATATTTTTGCTCTATAGTACCAGAGTACTAATGTAAACCAGCTGTGATCTAATGGTATCAGACCAGTTAGTGAAGGGTAGATCAATAAGATATTGTGGACAACCTTTTCAAACCGGACTGCCTGAAGCTTTGGAAGTGCAGCCTAAATCGAAGTAGCTTGGTTTTCAGAGTTGCTGAGCTCTGGCAGCTCCCACTGAAGTCAGCAAGAGCTGTAGGTGCTCAGGACCTAACAATCAGATTACTGTTCCCACTAATTATCACATTACCTTTATTTAGGATCTTAAATTTTAAAAAAAAGTTAGGAGCTTAACTTTAGACACCCAGGTTTGAAAAGGTTATCCTGAATGTGCAAGTTATTTTTGTTCATTGAATTGTTCCCTGTTAATCTAGTTTAGCTAGTATATTCTAATCAATTGATATTTATTGTAATGAACACATGATGTACGTCTAGGTTCTAAAGAAAATCTGGCTCCTCAGAACTGAGTTGTACATTTCTCCGTTTTTAAATACTATGACTATCAAAGCCAACACCCAGCAATTCCATTGTCAGTTCCGTTGTTACATTGTCACAAAACATGACAATTTCAAATCTTCAAGGCATCAATGTCTGTGAAAGTTGCTAGCCAGGGGAGAAGCAGGAGAGGTCTAAAGCAATCCACAGGAACAAAGCAAGCCACTGTTCATAGCCTAATGCTATGTGATTAGAAAACAAATAGAATGGGGAAAAATAAAAAAATGTGTGCATCTTATATATGCACACTTCTGTCCTTCCTCCAACAGTAGTAATTCCTCCATAACTCACCTGTCCCCACGCATAGAGATTATTGTGAGTCTGAGAGGGGTTCACTTTAGACAAGAGGAAGCGGGCCTATAAAAAAAAATATATATATTACAAAAATAGTTTTTAAAATAAAGAATATCAACTCCCTCAAGACTTATCACCACACCCCAGGTCACCACAGCAGTCTGGCTAGCCTTTGCTTTCAAGCCCTGGTTTAGAGAATATATTTTTCTGATTTAACTTGAACTGATGTCCCATTAAAGTTCAAAGGCAGTAACTATTATGGATATCACTATGGTAACCAAGAGATGAAAACCATTGCATCATTTGATCACTGTAATAGCTAACATTTGACCAATATTTTTGGACATCAGTTACTGCTGCTAACTAATGTGGCAGTTATGCCGCTTTTATAGGGGTGTAATAAGCAGAGAAGGGAATAAGAGGAAGATAAAGCTAAATAGCTTCTTATTACCAGCAGCATATGGACTATATTCATTTGTTGCCTTTTTTTTTGAGGCACAAGTATTCCCACTTGTTGCTAGTTATGAATGTTGCCATAGGCTATGGAAAAGAGAATGCCATGACTAGGTTTCTAATCCAGTGTGATTCAAACCAAGTTGCACTGAATGTATTACCTAAGCTAGATACGTTTTGATATGTACAATCATTTATTCTCCATGTAGTATTTGATCTGACCATTTTCTTTTTTGCACCCTTTTATTTCAAAGGCCTGTCCCATGAACAATTTCTAAAGTACGCTTTTAAAACAGACTATTAGTGGTAAGGGCTCACAAGGAAAGATATAGATACAGGCTGTGCACTTTGAGGGTTGAATTACTGCAAAGTTATTTAGTCTACAGAATCAGCTAATTACTAAACCTAAAGCTATGAACTCGCTTCATTCAAAACTAATACACATGTGCTCCTGGATAAGGCTTTGCCATACCTGACTGCCTCCATGTTCAGTGTTAATATAACGCGGCATTGGAAATCTAGTCTGCAATATTTCCTGGGCATCGTCCAATGGGGCTTGCAGTAAATGCTTGAAGTTTTCATATTCAGGCATGTCTTGGTAGCCAGCTTTCTGCCACTGTGCAATCGTCTATTGGAGGAAAAAAGAGAAAGTAGGAGAGAAGTCTCCATGTTACCCCTCACTTTGTAACTTTTGTGTCTTTGCTTTAAAAGACTAGAATGTTACAGGATACACGTTTTTATTATTTAGTCAATTACTTTGTATTTGTCTAATCCTGAATCCAAATAAAGAGCTAACTAACAAGATGAGAAACTCAGCCAAATATCTACATTTATTTCTGTAGAGCTGCAAGAGCAATTTGTTGAAAATAAAATTGAAACTATTGGTTATCAAAAGATACATTTTTATGAGGGATATGCACAGCATTAGTTAAACTCAGAAATAGCAATTTTTAATAAGACTTAAATACCATGGCCGTAGTCATTTTCTTGTACTGTTTATAAGGGTACAGATACCTGACAACTGCTCCACTCACATACAAATTTACCCCTTCCCTGGACAGATTTCACCAAAACAGCTGATTGGCTCAAATTGCAACATTACAGGAAGGTGATGATTTCTTCAGACAACATTGAAAGATCTATCCTCCTGCTTGACTCAGGTGTACATACAACTCACGTTCATATTAATCAGATCTGTGTGCATATCTCTCGCAGAGAACAAATCTCTTAGAAAAACAGGTAGCAGATAACTGAGCCATTGAAAACGGACATGCCTTTAGAGGCAATATTGCAGGGGTATTAACACTGGTGTCATTACACTAGCCCAAGCTTTTCAAACAGCTCATTTTACACACACAGTAACGGTGCAGGGTAACAAGAGAAAGACACATGATTTGCACGTTACCTCGCCAAGGTAGATTACAATCTGGAAGAAAGTATCCATCAGCAGAATTCTGTCAGCAAGAATGCTGCTGCTGTCCAAAAGCACAGGCTGGGAAAGATCAGATGAGAAGTCAGTCACCGTGATGCCCTCAGAACTGTATTAAACTTCAAGTTCAGTGCAATAGATAACTGTACTGCAGCGGTACACAACAGAATCAATAGAGTGCTAATCAGTCTGAATAAGCAAATTTCAGAGCGTAGCCAATGACACAAGTATCGCGGAACGAATCATAAAGATACCAGCCGCTGCAGGAAACAGAATGCGTAGAAAAGCTATATTTCAACAACATGAGTTTGAGCTGAAATGATCTTGGACAAGAATCTCTCATCGAAATAATATTATGTTCACTGTATGTTCACAACTTTAGAATTTTAAAAGAATATCCTTGTCTTTGAAATACAAATATTTTTCTGAATAATTACTCTAATTAAAGGCAGGCCATAATACAAACTGGACTATTTGTATAAAACAATACCATTGTGATGACTGACTAGACACCATTAAGGATTGTTCCAAAGCTCTCTGCTCAACACAGCAAGTGAATGACTTACCTCGGGGGGTCCAGAGAAAGAATAGGAATAAAGGATGGGCTGGATCATGATGAGGGACTGGGTCAGATCTTGTCTGGCAAAGTGATGCCGGTAATAGGAAGATTCATCCGGGCTGTTGTTAAACACTTGAAGAAATGGAGATCGTCGCAAGTGGAACATAAACTACATTTACATAGAAAGATGAATGAGAAAAGAAAAGAAAAAAAAAAAATCAATGGATTTTTTTTTTTTTAACCTCCCTATTCACAAGTCCAGTCTGAATGTACAATAAGTTACTGCCAAAGTCTTTCCTCTAATTAACTCTTTGGAAGCTTCATCTACCAGTCGTTTACAGCATTTAACTACATGCCAGGGTGTTGACTTGCATCACAACAAATTTAAAAATCATCAAACAATCATGATTGTGTATTTTATTGACATTTCTGCCTGTAACTGCCTTTTTCCACATTTCCATATCTATACAAAGCGGAGTCCTTACCTGGGGATACAGAGAAAATGAATCTGACAGTCTGAAGGAATTCGGATCATCCTTGTTATATTGTCCAAACTTCTGACACTGTTGGAAGGAATGCGTATATTTCAATCTCTGGGGGTTTGTTTGTTTGTTTCACACATTCTGTATTTGTAAGAATTTTTACAGAGTAACCCAATAAGAAGAGAATACCAATAGGTAATACAGAGAAACATTACACAATGTGGTGTCTCTAAACCTCTCACTGCTAGAAGCCGGGACTCGATGACACAGGATTGATCACTCAATAATTAACCTGTTCGGTTCATTCCCTCAGAAGTATCTGGCATTGGCCACTGTGGGAAGACAGGATACTGACATAGATGGACCTTTGATCTGACCCAGTATGGCCGTTCTTATGTTCTTATCACATTATTAATTAAGTCACTAATGTGTGGGGCTATTGCTGGAGTAATGATTGGACTCCATCTTCACTTATCATATTTTAGCATGTAAATACATATCACAAGCTTTGTACAAAGGTCAGATTCAAAATATCTAAAGGGAAAAAAATTGCTTCCAAGAAATTAATGTTTTTTATTGGATCAGTTATGATCTGATAGCTGGGTCTCATTTAATGCTTTGTATATCACATCACTTAGGCTTCATTATGACCAAGGTGTCTTGTATGCTACGAAACACTGGCTGGCCCAATGTTCCTTGGCTCTGTGACAGCAGACTGGAAATTCTGCAGCAGCGTCATTGAAAATTGATAGTTTTAATGACTGATATATGCAAATGAACACTGCAAATAAGTGCAGTAGCCAGCCCCTCGCATTTGTTTTAGTATTCAATTCACTTTTCTTTTACATTTACCCCACATTTTCAGTATTGGACATGCCACAGATTTTTGTACTAACACAACATAGCTGCATTATAGGCTATGTGTACACTTTAAATGCCATGGCAGCACAGCTTCAGCACTGCACCTGGACTGCTGTAGCACTTCAGGATAGACACTTACCAGAGTGACAGGAGGGGCTCTCCCATCGCTGTAGTTAATCCACCTCCCCAAGAGGCGGTAGCTAGGTCGAAAGAATAATTCTTCCATCGACCTAACACCATCTATGCGGGGACTTAGGTCGGCTTAGGTCCATCACTCGGGGTGTAGATTTTTCATACCCATGAGCGATGTAGCTGGGTCAGTTTAATTTGTTAGCATAGACCAGCCCTAAAAGCCCTTGGGGCACAGCTGGAGATTTAGGCAGCTGGGACTTTTGGCCTCTGTAGAAGAGTTGGAGGCAGTCTGGAGTTGTAATATAACCATGTGGGCTAGAGGATTCTGCTAAAATGGAAACTTACATGGCATAGCTATGTCTCTCAGGGGGTGTGAAAAAATCTAAGCCCCAGGGTACACACACTAAGCTGATGGAAGAAATCTTCCATTGGTCTAGGTCAGGGGCGGGCAAACTTTTTGGCCTGAGGGCCGCATCGGGTTTCGTAAATTGTATGGAGGGCTGGTTAGGGGAGGGGGGTCGTGGCCTGGCCCCCACCTCCTATCTGCCGCCCCATTCTCCCGGGACTCCTGCCCCATCCAACCCCCCCATTCCCTGACAGCCCCCCGCAGGACCCCTGTCCCATCCACACACACATCCCCGTTCCCTGACCACACCCGGACCCCTGCCCCTGACTGCCCCCCGCCACCCCATCCAACCCCTCCTCTCATTCCTGATGGCCCCCCGGGACCCCTGCCCCATCCGACCACCCCTTCTCCCTCTCCCCTGACTGTCCCCGGAACCCCAGCCCCTGACTGCCCCCTGCCGCCCCATCCAACCTCCCCTCCTTCCTGACTGCCCACTGGGATCCCTGCCCCCATTCAACCCCCTGTTCCCTCTGACCCCGATCCACACCCCCACCCCCTGACCACCACCCCGAACTCCCCTGCCCTCTATCCAACACCCCCCCCCCTTACTGCGCTGCCTGGAGCACCGGTGGCTGGCGGTGCTACAGCTGCGCCGCCCAGCTGGAGCCGGGCCACGCTGCCACCACCGCTGTCACCGCACAGCACAGAGACCAGGTCAGGCCGGGTTCTGCAGCTGCGCTGCCCCAGGAGCTCATAGGGCAGTGGGGCGAGCAAGCTGAGGCTGCGGGGGTGGGGGAAGGACAGCGGGGGAGGGGACCGGGGCTAGCCTCCCGGGCCAGGAGCTCGGGGGCCGGGCAGGACGGTCTCGCGGGCCGGATGTGGCCCACGGGCTGTACCTTGCCCACCTCTGGTCTAGGTACTACATCTCGGGGCAGTGGATAACTACAGCAATATCCTCCCCTCCCCTCCCGTCCCTGCAGTGAGTGTCTACATTGAAGAGCGACAGCAGGGCAGCTGTAGCGTTTTAGGTGTAGACAGAACTGACGTTTATACTATTTCAGATTTAACCCACTGACATTCGCCCATCACACTTACCAATCTGATTAGCTGCCTGTCTAGCCATCGCAGTACATCGGGTCCCTCCTCCGACTCAGCTCTGTAGACTCCCAGACGAGCCATTAGCACTGCAGCTGCTTCCTGGTCAAACGCCGCTTCGATATGTTGGAGCTGACTCTGTGCATCTGCCCAACTGATAATAGGAAAGTTAGTGCGACATACATTCATCTTTACCAAGTACAAAAACTGGCTCATGCTGTACAGGTAAAACACCCTGCGTCCAATCCACCCAGATGGCTGGAAAAATTCAGAAAGACAGACTATATTTACAATACAGTAGGGATAGGCCTATGGAGCTCACTTTCTGGCAATGGTGGTTACTCGAATGCGTCTCTGTGTACTGGAGTGCTGATACTGAGTGACAAACTGCGCGGCGCCTCTGCCACCCTGAGGTATCGGTGCATTGTGCTGCAAAACAGAGGAATAAAGTGTTACTCTCATAAAGAGTTTATAGGGTAGAGTTACAGAACAGCAAAAGAACTGCAGTGCATTATACGTCAAGCCTGAGTATAACTGCAAGCTTGAGTCCCGCTGCTCAAGAATGTCATTTTTCAGGGCTGCTGGAAAATATAAGGAGTATTAAGCAACCCCAGAGTAAGCATGGGGGTGGCGGGTTCATTAGCTACTTTGCTAACAGTTGGGCAATAAAGAATGGGAGCGGTTTATCATCCCTACAACAGTGGGAAAATAGCACATGGAAGGAGTTGGCAGGACTGAATAAATATAACAGGTAAGGAAGAGAAAAGAGAGAAACAACAGAGTCATTGTGCAGGGTAAAAACATTTATTACTTAGCTCTTATATAGTGCTTTTCATCAGTAGAGCAAGTAGGAGCATGAATGCAGTCTGTGTGAGACTGTTTTTTCTAGCTATGAAACTTGTTAATAGGTATCTCATATGTTACAAAGGGACCATTGTAATTACTCTTCGTGGATCTACTAGACAGGTGATGGCTACTATAGACAACAGTATGCTGTAACTGTACATAAATGAGGAAAAAAACTGGACTGACCTGATTCACCACTTCAAAATATATGGCAAGAGTTGAACTGGGATCAAGGCTACAGATTTTCCACTGACATGTACCGCCAATACCAAGTTCCTGGAGAAGGTTCAAAAGAAAGTGATTTTTTCTCTAGTGCAGGATAAGTTAAGATCACTTTAAATTCTGACCAAAGGTAAGACTCAGCACGTGCCCTCTATTGGATCTTACACCTTCTAGATACTAATTAAAGTCCAAAAATGAACCTGAAAACAAATAATTAAATGAAAGCTTTACTGTGTAACAGTTGAAGCCAGATTCAGCTGTCTTCTCCAAGGACACCAGTCATCTCTTTCCACTGGTCAGCCATCCGTGGGATACATTAAGGGCAGTCCTGCAGGAGACCCCCCCCCACCACCCCCCTATTCAAAGACCAAGCACTTCACCTCCACAATGCACCCAATTTCCTCTAGCCTGGGGAGATGAACCCTACAGTACTCCCAAACCAGTCTCTCCTCCTTGACAGAACCCGGCATTGCTGTCAGACCATAGGGCTAGCCAAAAGGCTTTGCACTGCTTATTTACTTCTTTATAAAAGATTTTCCACGTCGGTGACTTACGTTTTCAGAGACGCATGGTCCTTTAGCGTTTAGGGATACGCATGGTCCAATAGCCCCTGAGATTTTCAGCTCCCTAGAAGTCTAAAATAGGGTCAGAAAAGTTTGAAAATCAAATCAGTCAAACCAAGTACACATCTGAAGCGACAGAAAAATCAGCCACTCAGCTTTAATCAGAAAAGACATTGATGATCAGAGGTTCCCAAACTGCTCTGCAGAAAGCTGGCGGGTCACATGGGGCTGCCTTCTCCTCCTCCTTTCCAGCTGCTAAGTTACATTAAAAGACAGCTAAACCACATCCACTAATTTTCCAGGGCAGCTAGTGTTGCAGTTGCCACAGGGATGTTGTGCAATCATGAAGGGGAGGAAATGTAGCCCACGTGACTGTTCCTCTGAACGCCACACTGCAATTAGAGTTTGAGAACCTCTGATCTACATAATCAGATTTCAAACAAAAAACACAAGCCCACAATTGCCTGTGGGAGTAGGAAATTCTACTTGACAAGTGTGGGCGAGTAGGGCTAAGCCATTCATCTCTGCAAAGATTAAGCTTTCCCTAAGGAAAAAACCCCAATAAATCCATTATCTGTGAAAGTGACAAGAATCTGGTCAATTTCTTTCTCCTGCTGCCTGGGAAAGCCAAAAGCAATAGCCTGGGCAGGCACTGGAGCTATTCAGAGTGGGGAGGAAAATGCCAAAAATGGAGGCAGGGGAAGGGGAGAGTAGCAGAGGCCAAGCCACTCACTATTCAACAGGCTCCAGGATGGGACCAGAGAGAAATATCCTTCCTTCCAGCAGCCCAAGGGACATGGGTGCTTCACGTCAGTGGGGCTGGGCACCAAGTGCAGGGATCTGCCTGCATGGAACAGCTTGGAGGGCTGAGGCGTTAGGTAAGATACTAAGTGTCAGGATCTTAGAACTTCCTCAAGACAGGGCTGGAATTCCCTCCAAACAGGCGTGGTTTCAAAACACACACGCTCTCTAAGGTTGCTGGTTCCATCACCGAGAGCCACTGGAAATTTAAAATAACTCACTAAAACGTTGCATGTTGCAAAATAAGCTTAAGTATTTAATTGTTTATATCCTACACAGAACCAGCTATTTAACCTGTTAAATCAGAGTGCTCTTTACTGATTTATCTGTTCATTCTGTTTCATCAGCCCTATCTCTCACCTTCACTTCTAACGTAGCACCAAACGCCATTCGGAATTCTCCATTGAAGTCTTTGCTAAACACCCGCTGGAAGGTCTGCTTGAAGAGAGAAGTGTTGAAAGAGTCCCCCATCACCATGTGACCCCTGGGAAGGGAAAATGACAAGGGAACTAAACAACAAGTACCTGGAACGGACTCGCAAAGGATGTCTCTCTCCTACCCTTCACCCACCACACAGACAGACAGACACCATTTAAAAAAGTTTCCATGGTGAATTGCAAAGTAAGGAACTAGCTACTGGATGGATGCATTCCAATCCTCAAATCTGAACATTCTGGCACCACCCCGAGGGGCGGGGCACAAAGGAGCAAGTTCTGAGTTAACACAGAAATGGAAAGTACAGTAAGTGTTTATGAAAGGGGTTAGATTGACAGCCAGGGAGTTGTCTGTTTGGCCACAGAACAGTTCTTGCAATGGCAGTGCAGTGTTCCTTATCTGTGTGCTAGAATGGAGACTGGGGAAACCTAATTCTAGGGCTGGAGAGTAGTTCTGTCTTTATCTGTTTATTTTCCAATGCATGCAGTGCACCTAACTCACAAACTACTTGATGCCCTAGCGGTGATGATGCTTGACACATTACAGAACTCCCTAAACCATGAACAACCAGTAACTAAATCCTCCTCTAATTATCTCACCTCCTCAGAAAAAGTCCGAGTAAATGGATAGGGCCTAATAGCGCAGACTGATGGTCTATCACACCAAGGAAAGGCAATTCTAGAGCTAAGAGTCTTCTATCAAAAACACCTTGCCTCCAGAAAGACCAACATAGGGACTTCCCAGTTAACTGGCCCAGTAGATCTCAACTGGCAGATTAAAGAGACAGGCAGTCCCTACAATAATCCGGGTAGTGGTTGGCACCTCTGCAAATGCCACCAGCAAGGGTGCTACTCCGTGCAAATTATGATGGTGTTTGGACTGGGGATACGTGCCCACTAGGGACTGCAATGACTCTTGGCACTGGCTTCTTGACTCAGAGAGGCCAAGTATCCGTAAGAAATTATAACTCTGCTACTACCCTGAAGCAATTTCAATCCAGTGCCCTAGTACCAAGCCCTCCTGGTCCCTGCAGAACATTTCATTTTGCAGGACACAGCGCAAGCACTTAACATTATGCTCATAATGTGACTGCTTAATCTGTCTTTCAACTCTCCCCTCTGGACTTGCTAAGTCTCAGTGAAATAAAAAACATGTTTGTGGAAAAGACAGCATCCAGGGTTTAGGAGTTGGTTAAAACATTAAATCACCCTTCTCTAAACAGGACATCTGCTTTGCCACTGACTGCATCAAAATTCATCCCATGCAAGCTGCCCTGAAGTATGACCTTGCACTACTGAAGTCAAGGGCAGCTTTACCATTGAATACAACGGACACAAGATCAGACTGCTAATGCTTAGAATCAGGGAAATGACGACAATTGCTCACCTCCATACATTTATATCAAACTAATCATTTCCTATCCCACTCCTCCACCCCAAAAGACGGGGCTGTGCTTGCTCACTGCTCAGGGCTGAGGACATACCCAGTGAGGTTTGCACAACACTTCATCTCCAGAAGGCCAGTCTGATCGAGAGCGCAGGCGTAGATATCGATGCAGTGGCCGTTGGCTGCCGTGCGATTAGCTAGAATCTCGTAGTGCTGTGGAGACAAAGGGCACGCAGAGCTTTTAAAACATTCCAACCGGCATGTAAGGATTTCTTTGGGTTCTACAGCTGGAGCCGACACAGGAATTTTCCCTTGGGGAAAGCATGTTCTATTTTAATGGTGACATACCACCCCTAAAGTAAGGACCCCAAATCCCAGAGCCACAGTACACAACGAGCACTGCATTAGAGCTTGCTTTTCACTGCTATGACCTTTGCTACCATCTCCAAACTACACTGTACATTCAGAGTAAATGCAGCACATTTGAACCACTTAGCGATGTGTCAAGACGACCCAGGAGGCATTTGGAGACTGACTGGTTCTCAGCGGGAAAAGCAAACTCTCTCTTGCCAGGTTAGGATACTCCTGGAACTGAGGGTCAGATCCTTCTGCTCTCCAAACGGCTGAGGAAGAGATGCTAAAATACCTTCTTGCTCTCTGGAGAAAGAACTGTGCTGGATGCAGACTGGGACTGAGGGACTTAGCCTTTTGTTTGGGACCTGGCAGAACAAAGCCCGGCCTTATACTTTGACCTAGGTAGTTGGCTGAAGAAAGCAGCATCTGTACCCCTGAGGGAGACCCAGGTCCATGTCTGGGCATAGAGGACTCAGGGCCACGAAGAAGCAGCGTGCTTGTCACTAGTAAAGTCACACAAAGGGGTTAGTAAGGTGAAGCGCAGCTCACCAATACAGACCTAAGATTAGCTATTGGTTCCATAGGGGTGGCTTAGTGCCGTGAGCTGGTAAAACTGTGCTGCTACCACGTACACCGTGACACCCAAACTGGTTACACCCAGCAGGTCCACGACATCGTTTGTGCAGCAGAAGCAGTGTCTTTGCTTTAGCAGACAGCAAGACCTACCTTTGTAGCCTTTTTCATGAACCGTGCATTGTCCTTCTCTATGTCATGCCAGGAACGAATGGGTGTTTTCAGTTCGTCTCCTACCACCATGCCTGGCCCTTGTGTGGGTGGCCCGCCTGTAAACAACATTATTCTGGCCCCTGTGTTTGGAAACGTGCCCTAGAATAAAATTAAAGCCTTATTTTAGAGGTGGGCAGATTAAAGGACAGCAATACTTTTAATCTACTTTTTGGGGCAAGGTCTGTGTCAACCTCTGTGTACAGTACCTAGCACATCAGGGGGCTGATTCTGATGGAGGTGTTTGGGTGCTCCCTTCATAAATAATTCCTGCCTTGACATGGAATAGTGGGGACTGAGGCACCACTGTCCATTTCTAAACACAGGACAGGTCAGATTTCATGCTCCCACTCCAGGAAGCAGGACTGTATCAGCTCCCATCTTCCCCCCTGTGCCTCAGGTGATCTATCCACAAAACCAGCGTATGATTCCACAGAGATGTGGTGAGGCCCTGATGCATCTGAAAGCCAAATATTGGTTGTAAATATCTCTGAGATTCCTGAATGCTCTCATACAAAGCATCTTTCAAATATTATTTAAGCATAACTATCCTCAGCATCACACCCCAGGAGGCATCAAGTTGGGTCATTTTCCCATAACAAAGTTAAATAGGTATTTCAAAAGTTAAGGGAATGTGACAAACTACACTCATGTCTGATATGTAGGGCCCTACCAAATTCACGGCCATGAAAAACATGTCCTCTCCTCTCTGGCTGTGAAGTAAGGGTGGCAATCCCATGACCTATAATAGCCTTGCGGCCCACCCCACCCCCGACCACCTTTTGGGTGAGGACCCCCATGGTTACAACACCATGAAATTTCAGATGTAAACATCTGAAAACATGAAATTAACTAATTTTAAAAACCCCTGGCCGTGAAATTGACCAAAATGGACTGTGAATTTGGTAGGCCCTATTGATATGCAATCAGGCCACAGACCAAGTCTTTCAAATACTGAGACATACTGGCCAAGCACAGCATAACCCCATAAGATTTTAATTTACCAGGTAATCGCACATTAAGAGTGAATTAGGATTACCTCCAATAAACCAACAGCAATTGACAAAGCTACTCCAGTCGATCGCAAGGGTCGCTTTCCCTGAGTCACTGGCCACGGGTCCCTCTGTAGTTCCCCAAGAAGATCTGTCAGGTTCATGTCAATCTTGTGTACAGGCTGCAGGAACCTGCAAGAATTCAAAATGAACAATTATAAATCCTATTGGTTTGGTCTTTGCTGCCAAAAACTGTATCAAAGTAATGCACCTCTCACACCTGAAGTTTTCAAAACAACAGGCACAAGCACAGATAAACAATTTGATCAGAGCAAGATACAAAGAACACATAGCATGAGGACTTGGAAAAGCTACTCCACCAAAATGCATAGGAGACCTGGCCACGGAACGAGAGCTTTAGGAGTGAGTGAAAGAGAGCACATGAGCTGGGACCCAACACAGGGAAACACAATTTAATCTGGAAACAAACTCCCGCTGTTTTCTAATCATTCAGTCTCTGCTTACACTCTAAGTACTGTATATACTCGTTCAGAAGCCCAATATTTTTGGTAAAAAAGTGACGCATCAAAGAGCGGCGGTCGGCTTATAAATGGGTCTACACCAAAATTTGATTATTTTAAACTCTATGGAATCATTGAATTGAATATCTAATACATTGTTGTTTTGTTTACCTGGAGCATCTGCAGGCATGGAGCCCCTCAGCTCCCTGTGGCCGCGGTTCACCGTTCCCAGCGCGCCACTTCCCGCAGCTCCCATTGGCTGGGAACAGCAGACCGCGGACACTGGGAGCTGAGGGGCTCTGTGCCTGTGAACGCTCCAGGAAAACAAAACGTCTGGGCCCGCTAGCGGCTTACCCTAACGGGCCAGGAGCCAAAGTTTGCCAACCCCTGAAATATAGAGTCGGCTTATGAAAGGGTCATGCAGTTTTGCTATTTTTACCTAACCATCTTGGGGGGCGGGGGGTTGGCTTATAAACGAACGGGCTAATGAACGAGTATATACGGTAATAAGTTTTCAAATGCTGGCTCCAAACGGAAATCCAGCCTGGATGGCGCTATTTTTGGAGTCTGTAAGAAACAGACCACTATGAAAGCTCTATAGGCTGCTCAGATAAACCCCATCAATATAGCTCTACAATTGTAAACAAATTATTGCAATTAGAGAACAACTCAAGACATCTTACAAAGGATTCCCTTTACGAAACCCGCATTTAGGGGCTTGGGTCCTACAGGTCATAATGTGAACATGGGCTCTGTCCTGCCCTTCTGGGATAGTGTGTTTCGCCGAGCCACTTACCTGCTTGAAATAGGTGGCTGTTCCTGAGGCTGAAGAGGTCTTCCCTGCTGAACAGGTACCACAGGCCTTGTAAGACCCAGCATATCCTACGGGACAGAGGGAGGTGGTGGGAAGGATAAACTTGATTACTTAAACATCAGATCTATTATTTATTATCTAGCTACCGACCCTAGGTACTTATCTACCCCCTTTCCCCTAGTATCTAACTGCTTCACAATCTTTAATGTATTTATCCTCATACACCTCTGTGAGTTTGCTATTCTCCCCATTTAACAGACACCAAGGCACAGACAGGTTAAGTGACTTGCCCAAGGCCACACAGGAAGTCTACAGCAGGGCAGGAAATCAAACCCAAGTCTCCCTAAGGTTAGTGCCCTAACCACTGGACCATCCTTCCTATTTGCTCTTTACAAGCCAAGAGTTTGAAAAGGGTGGAATATGGTAAGACACCTAAATGGAATTACATGTTGGATTAAGTGTAGGAAGAGAAGGCAGATCATACCTGTATTTGCTTAGCTGTCAGGTCCTTGGTCCCTCTGAAAACATAGCTCTTGGAGATTCCTTCGCAGCTCAGTTCATGAACCTGGACCATTCTGCCAAATGTGATCAGCCCCACCAGCGCCTCTGGAGGCAGCAGACTCAAGGACATCTGCAGGGATTCCTTCAATGCTTGCAAGTCTTCCTCTTCCAGACACGTGTCAACAACGTAAAGGAAGATCAGTGGGGTTGGAGAACCTCTCTGTTGTGGAAAGAAAAAGGTTTACTATGAATCTGCATATGCTCTCAGTGACACACACTGCCCATCCTCCTTGGGCTGGGAATTATCATAATGAAACAAAATATTTTAATCAAAATGGTTATAGAAATAAGAAAACTTATGTCTTTCATTCACAAATATCTATTAAAAGTCAGCAAGTTAAAATATCTTGTTTCGGGAATATCACAGCGCTCCTCCTGAACCATAGAGAACAGCAACAACAGATCCGCAACTGGATCAGCAAAAGATGGTCACCGTTTCTCATGACTGGAGGCATCAAGAACAAAGCACAATGCAGGCAGGACAAAGACCTGGGAGACACTTATCTCTCCATTGACTTATTTCAACTATGAAATTGGTTTTAGAGACCCACTGCTCAGTGGGCTGGCAGGATTGGGCCACAGTCCTTGTCTACACACAGATTAACTCTGAAATGGGTTAAACTAAACCAGAACAAGGCACTCTTGTCCTGAAATAAGGGTGTCTGCATATGGAGTTATTCAGGAACAGCTATTGCAGAATAGCTACTCCGGTCAATTTCCCAGTGTAGACAAACACTTAGAATATGACTTGTATGGCTTCTATTTAATTAAAATAGAGAACCTGGATGCTAAATGTAAGGAACTGCATCCATTTCCACTCTCCAGTCTTCACAGTAAAGTTGTATACACAGATTTTAGAGGAAAGCTATTTAAATTAAAAAGCTAAAAGTGAATGGTTTAACTCAAGAGATCAGACAAAACAACAGGGGTTTTAAACTGTGCTTAATTAATCTAAAGACCAACTGCACTTTGCTCATGAAAACACTTTATTCAAGGTATCTTGAATAATTTTCCAGCATACATATGTGTTTCAAATGTTTTCTGAGAATCCCAAGCTTGACCATGATGCACTTACCTGCACTATGTATTCGATTGTGGAAAACTGAGGCATAAGTTCTGCTGGCTGATTTACTTCGGATATGCCTGCATACGCTGGAGGGAACTGAAAATGAGAAGCAAGGATTAGAACAAGCAAGTTAACTGTGCAGGTTATTTGAAGAAATCTACAACAGCAGGGATATCTCCTGCATTCTGAAGGCTGGATGATGTACAAGGGAGGAAAGCTTTCATATTCAAGTACGTGTTACTCAATTGCTTATTTCCTGGTATAGCAGCAAACTCTTTTACCTGAATAAAATGCAGCATTAGTTCTTCGCTGCTTTTCATTATGGATAGCAGTGGTGGTTAGCAGCATGTGTATAAGTCTGAAGCACAATTCAATTAGAAAGCAACTGAGAATAGTTTAGTCAGATGATACACAGTGTTTCTGACAGCAGACATCCACTTCCAGCACAGCAAGTTTCATACTCAGAAGAACAAAAGACAATGATGAGCACTGGCCTCAACATGCACAAAGAATATGATGTAAATGTAAGGCACAAAAATAACTACAGATCTGCTGCCTGTAGCACATGCACTGGCAAACAGCCACTGCAAAACTGAACCAAGACTAGAAGAGATGACATTCCACTGCTTTCACATCACACCGATTAAAAAGAATGCTGAACTGGGTGCACAAAGAGAAAGGGGCCATGGGGAAGAGTCTCTTTAGCAGAGATTTCTGCTTATTTTACTACCCTTCGCTAGAGGATGCTTGTGACGTTATTGATATAATCTGGGACCATATAGATCATTGTTGCAACCAAGGTCCTGTAGTGGCACCCAAATCTTGTATAAAGGGGGTCAAATGGGGTGTCTTAGACAAGGTTATGGTTTACTGGTTATGATTATGCTGTCTATATGTGTGTGTCAATTTTGTAGTTGAAGTTATGAATATTGGCTCTATACTGTCTGTATTTCAAACTTATGCTATGCTGCTGGGTGACATCCCAGACAAGCTGGTGTTAGCTCTGCCTAGTCTGCTTGATGGCCCATTAAGGACCATCAGCTATACAATGGACCCATTGAAAGAAGGCAAATATGCCTTGAGACTCAGCAAAGTATGCAGGGACTGGCCCATGTGACTCCAGGCTCCATTTTGCTGTAATTTTCCACAGTAAGAACAAAGAGGTGTTCTTACACCTGGAAGAGACTATATAAGGCTGATGCCTCATCTCCATCTGGTCTTCAATCCTGCTTCATACCTCTGGAGGAACTTTGCTACAAGCTGAAGCTTTGAACAAAGGACTGAGGACCCATCCCAGCGGGGGATGTATTCCAGAGACTTGATTTGAACCTGCAGTTTATTCTATCGCTGCTGCAAGCCTGAACCAAGAACTTTGCCATTACTGTATGTAATTGATTCCATTTAACCAATTCTAACTCTCATCTCTATCTTTTTCCCTTTATGAATAAACCTTTAGATTTTAGATTCTAAAGGATTGGCAACAGCGTGATTTGTGGGAAAGATCTGAGTTGTATATTGACCTGGGTCTGGGGCTTGGTCCTTTGGGATCAGGAGAACCTTTTTGTGTATATTGGGATATTGGTTTTCATAACCATTTGTCCCCATAACGAGTGGCACTGGTGGTGATACTGGGAAACTGGAGTGTCTAGGAGATTGCTTGTGAGACTTGCGGTTTGCCAGTGGGGCGAGACCGAAGTCCTCTTAGTCTGGCTGGTTTGGTTTGCCTTAGAGGTGGAAAAACCCCAGCCTAGGGCTGTAACTGCCCTGTTTGAGCAATTTGTCCTGAGTTGGCACTCTCAGTTGGGTTCCGCCAGAACCACATCGTCACAATGCTATCAATTGAATACTCAATGAAGAGAGAATGAAGTGGATAGAGAAGATAATGAGAAAACGAAGCACTTTCCCAACCTACCTGGTTTCTCTGAAAACAGAAGTTACAGGCCCAGAGCTTGGCACGATAATCAACTTGACTATAAGAAAGGAAAGGTGGGACATTTAGTATAAAGGTATCAATTTTACAGCCAAACACCTACCAGACTTTACAGTTGAGATGAAAGAAAAAAGACACCCAGGTTTGATCTGAAGACATCAAGAGAACATAAAGCATCTATTTCAGAAAGGCATCACCATTTCCCTCGGTAGTTTGTTCCAATGGTTAATCACTCTCTCTGTTAAAAATCTGTGCCTCACTTCTAATTTGAATTTGTCTGACTTCAGCTTCCAGCCACTGGTTCCTGTTCTGCCTTTCTCCACTAGGTTAAAGAGCCATTTAGTACCCAGTATTTTCTCCCCGTGGAGGTACTTACATCGGAATAAAGTCACCTCTCAATTTTCAGACTGTGTTTTGGGGTTGGTGTTTTTGCTCCCAACACGTAACTAGCTGATAGTTAACAGATGCCACAAGTCAGTGGAATATTACTATTATTTATTTGTATTGCAGTAGGACCTAGGACCCACAGACTTGGAGCAGGACCTTAACGTGCAAGGGATGTACAAACAAAATGATGGTTCCCTGCTCCAAAAAGCTTGGCCCCCGTAGCCTCTGTAATTTTACAGTGTGAAGGCTAGTGCAGTAACACTTGGATGTACTTTCCTTCCTATAGTCTTTCTTTACAATCACACTTCCTGTTGATCTCACTGGCAACACCTTCCTCCCAATACTTGTCAGCAGACATGCATGTCCATAAGACCATCATTGGAGTCTGAGAACACAGAAAGTGTTTCCTCCCCTAAAATAAAAGCACACCCACAAACAAAACCTTTCTACTTACATCAAACCTCACCTACATCCAGGAGCACTACAGCGTTGATTCAAATTCCCACTTTGCCACCAAAAGCACAGAGATCAGTCTCTTCAGACATTCCTGGTCCTAATTAATATGTAGAGCCCCGCAAATCTGCAGATAACTGCTTTATATCCACAGATATCCACATCCACAGATGTGGACCATTTTTGCAGATTGTGGATTGGATGCAGAGACAAATTTTGTATCTTCGCAGGGCTCTACTAATATGCCCATCACTGCAGCCTCTAGGCATCAAGCATGATTTTCATTTAGTTTAAGTTGCATACCACTAACGTTACACAAGGTCAATGTCTCAGTGATTATAATGTAGCTATTTACACACCAGTGCTGGCTTTCCTTTAATAGCTACCCCCTGACCTCGGATAATCAGTTGCCTCTGCACCCCATTTTTGCTTCCTTCTCACTCTGACAGCCCTGACTAAGAGACTGGCGTTCTTTACTTATCACTAAGTGCACAAGTGTTTTAAAAATTCCAGGACACCTAATTTGAAGGGTCTCTTGGGACAGGCCCTGGACTGAGAGACGGGGAAGGAAAGTGATGGAGATCAGAAAAAACAGATTGCGATAAGCTCTATTTCCATCCAGTGTTAACATTCATAGGTTAGAGTGAAGTCAGAAATTCATACCAAAGCGGGTTGAGCACTGCTTTGCAAGTCTGCCTGCTACAAAGCACTGGTTCATATTGTACAGGCGGCAGGTCTAGACGTTCTTTCAGGGGAGTCAGTAGACAGGCCAAGGGTACGACCATTCTTGTAGCCTCCAACCTGCTGGAAGGCCACACATTCCAGCTGAAACGCACCCCGTCTCGCTCTTCATTTTGCTGAATGAACTCCAGATACGTCGCCATGGAATCTTCAAGGTTCTGAAAGAAAGGACAACCGATATGACACATGTTCATTCAGGAACCACTCGCTAGAGCAACAGCACGACAAGGGAGCATAGCACTTGGCAGATAGGCACAAGACGACAAGATTCCAGCCCTAAAGAGAATACCATCAAAAGCCTGAATCTCTACAAAGGTGGACACCCAACAGTGGGACTACTCACATGAGTAAATTACACACATACACAAGCCACTGCAGGATCAGGTCCTACATGATAAAATTAGTCAATCCCACAATAAAGGGAGCCAGTATGAGTACATCCACACCTATGAAGCTCCCCTAGTGCTCTGGCCAAGCTACCAAATAAACATTTAGGAGCCAACTGAAATCAGCAGATCCCAAAGGCCACAGGTAGACCTCACCCTCACAACAAGATTACTCCCCATTAACTATGAGCATCTCTTTGCGGTAAACACCCCAATTCCCCAACTCTGTTGCCGAGCTCAGCCCCACAGCTTCCAGACCAGTGGTTCTCCACCCACTTACTACTGTGGGCCACGTGTGCAGCTCTCTCTGTGTTATGTACAGTACAGTAACTCCTCACTTAAAGTCCTCCCGGTTAACGTTGTTTCGTTGTTATGTTGCTGATCAACTAGGGAACATGCTCGTTTAAAGGTGCGCAATGCTCCCTTCTAACGTCATTTGGCAGCCGCCTGCTTTGTCCACTGCTTGCAGGAAGAGCAGCCCGTTGGAGCTAGCTGGTGGGGGCTTGGAACCAGGGTGGACCGGCAGCCCCCGGCTCCCCTAAGCTCCCTGTGCGGCAGCTGCCCAGCAGGCTATCAATTGGCAGTTCAGCTGTCCCTCCCCCCACTGCCATGTGCTGCTCCTGCCCTCTGCCTTGGAGCCGCTCCCAGAGACTCCTGCTTGCTGTGCAGGAGGGGAAGGGGGGGCTAATGTCAGGGTGTCCCCCTCCCCGCTGCTCCTGCACCCCGCTTACCCCTTCTCCATATAGAGCAGGGAGTGGACACGGAGGGAGAGAGACAGAGAGAGCTTGGGGCAGCAGCTGCTGTCTCCACTTCCTGCTCCACTTAAAAAGACAGTACACTTAAGAGTGGGTCAGCTTACTTAAAGGGGCAGTGTGCATCTCTGTCTCTCTCTCTCCCACACACAAGGTGTGGGTCTGTCTCTGTCTGCTATGCTGTCTCCCCTCCCTCCTGTTCGTGCTGCCTTGTGTGAGAGGCTACATTAACAACGTGTTAACCCTTGAGGGCTCAGCAGAGTGCTAGTTCATCATTTAGCAGCAAGGCGTTCCCTGGGAAATATCCCCCCCTCTTCCACCCTCTAACTTCACCACCTCAACCAAGCTTCACAATCATCATAGCTGTGAACAGTATTACATTGTTTGTTTAAAACGTATACTGTGTGTATATCTATATAATATATAGTTTTTTGTCTGGTGAAAAAAATTTCCCTGGAACCTCCCCCCTTACATTAATTATTTGGGGAAATTGGATTTGCTTAACATCGTTTCGCTTAAAGTCGCATTTTTCAGGAACATAACTACAACGTTAAGCGAGGAGTTACTGTAAATATACTACCGGTATGGCCCTGATAACGTCATGTGGGTCGCAGCTGTGTGCTGATTGGGCCGCAAGCCACCCCATGGAAGGCTTGGAGAAAACTGGTCAAGCTTGCAATACAGCCTGAAAGTCACCAAATGAAAATGGGGTGGACCAAAGGAAGAAGCAAGTTGTAGAACGCAGGACCCTTCACAGAGGACATCTTGCTACCAACCCTCCCCTGTTTATAGCAGGAAAGGGAGCTGTTAGCCCAAGCACTTCAGATGATCTCTGCTCTGTGGCAGCACGTGTCGAAAAGACCCCAAACTATTTAGGGCTTTCAAGGTAGAAATGTAAGGTGGTGTTTCACCTGGAAATCACTGGTTGCCATGCAGATCATGGAGTGTCGTGTAACATGGTCCCTATGTGAAATCCCCCTGAGATGCGGGCGCCGGGCAGCCAGATTCTGCACCGGCTGCAATTTCTGAAGGGTTGCAAGTAGCAGACCCATGTAAAGTGCATTGCAATAATCGATCCTACAGGTGACACAGGCATGGCTAATCAGGCCAAAAAGTCTGTATCCAAAAGGAAAAGGACACAACATCCTCACCAAGGGCAAGTAAGAAATACATTTGACCACCACTGCCATCTGGGACTCCAGTAGCAGCGGTGGAGATAAAAAGATCCTCAGGTGCCCTTACAAACCAACCACAGACACAACCATTAAGCAGAGGTGCAGACAGAAGAAATGTCTCCCTCATACCCAGTGTAAGCATTCTCTCAGTCACAGCTGGGTTGCGGGTCAGTCACCCTAATGTGAATCCATGTCCCAATCTCTGTCCGACACTAATTTGTCTGAACACATCTTACAGAGGACATGACATGGAAAGAGAGCTGAGTTCCTTTAGCATACTGAAGAAATCATCATCATTCCTGCTGCCTTACCAAACTCTCTAGCAGCACCACACACACACTGAACAAGACATGACAAGACGAAACCCTGGGGAATCCCATATGAGAGCACCTTCCTGACACATAAAAAACTGCCCACCATCCTTGATACATCCCAGAAAATACAGACCCACTCAAAAGCAAGACCATATTAGTCCCTGTTAGGATCCATATACATATTAATGGTCAATGGCCCAACACTGTAGCATTTAATTTCAGAAAGGGGAACTACACCAAAATGAGATTAGTTGAACAGAAATTAAAAGGTACAGCACCAAAAGTAAAACCCCTGCAAGCCGCATGGAAACTTTTTAAAGACACCATAATAGAGGCTCAACTTAAATGTATTCCCCAAATTAAAAAAACTAGTAAGAGAACCAAAAAAGAGCCATTGTGGCTAAACAACAAAGTGAAACAAACAATGAGAGGCAAAAAGGCATCCTTTAAAAAGTGGAAGTTAAATTCTAATGAGGAAAATAGAAAGGAGCATAAACTCTGGCTAATGAAGTGTCAAAATATAATTAGGAAGGCCAAAAAATAATTTGAAGAACTAGCCAAAGACTCAAAAAGTAATAGCAAAAAAAATTTTTTAAGTACATCAGAAGCAGGAAGCCTGCTAAACAACCAGTGGGGCCACTGGACGATGGAAATGCTAAAGGAGCATTTAAGGATGATAAGGCAATTGCAGAGAAACTAAATAAATTCTTTGCATCGGTCTTCACGGTTGAGGATGTGAGGAGGCATCCTCAAACCCAGTACACAGTACTACTTCCTCTCAATGTTCAACACCCCCATCCCCAAGGTTCAGAGCTCTCTCCCGTGAGCCACTCAGCTGCATCTAAACGTCATGACACCCTCACCAGTGTCTCTGTACTGAGCAGAGCCTGTGAGTCAGATAAGCAGGCTGACAGCATCACAAAACAGGAGCTGACGTAAAGAAGTTAGCTTATCCTGGGTTAATAGAGGAACGCCTTGCCTCTCTAGTTCTAAATGTGGCCTGTATCCAAGATGTTCACAGAAGGTCTCTGTGAAGTTTGTTGGACTGTGGGTGTTAGCTAGAGAGTGAGGAGATCAGGGAAACATTTTTAAAAATGGAGAAATTTTAGCTGTTTCCTCTGCGAAAGAGAATAAAGGTTTACCAAAAATTACACAGAAAATGCAACAGTGAGGCAGGGCCCCTCACACCAACCCATATTGGGGGAGATCGCTCCATCTTCTCCCCAACAGTGATATGGGAACCCTCACACCAACCCCATACTGGGGGAGACTCCCCCATCCCACTCCAACAGCAACACGGTGGCCTCACACCAACCCCCACCCAGAGTGGGAGAATCAATGACGTGGGGGGTCCTTGTCCCTCCTTCACTGCCCACAACAGTGGCCCAGGGGATCCTCCCCCCGTTCTCTGAGCCCTAGAGTTACCACCTCTGAAGTGCAAAAACACCACACTATTCAGAATGATCCTGAGCCCATCAAGCTGGGCAGCTGGCAGCGTGCACTGAACACCCGGACAGATTCCCGGGGCAGTGACCTCAGAAAAGGGACGATCTTGGGGAACCTGGACAGGTAGAGCAGCCCTACTCAGCTCCCAGATCGTAGAGGAGATGGCCCCAAAAGCAACAGTGGGGCCCTTTCCCCTCCTACAGTGGCCTGGGGAAATTGACCCCATCCCCCACTAGTGGGGACTGCCTCTTCTGCCCGGGGGGACCTCCTCACACCATTGCCCACTGGGGGGACCCCCTTGCCCCATCCCGCACTAGAGGGGGACCCCACTCCCCTGACCCAGGGGACCCCCCCTCACCCCATCCCCTACTGGAGGGGGACCCCCGCCCCTGACCCGGGGGACCCCCCCTTGACCCATCCCCTACTGGCGGGACCCCTTCCCCCATCCCTTTCTAGACGGGGACCCCTTCCCCTGACTCAGAGGACCCCCCTCGCCCCATCTCCCACTGGGGGGACCCCCCCCCCCCCCCCAGGGGACCCCCTCCCCCCATCGCCCACTGGCCCGGGGGGCGCCGTCGCCCTCTCCCGCACTGGGGGACCCCCTCTCCCATTTCCTCCCCCGCCTCAGCACAGGGGGCCCTGGCGGGACCCGCCCCCCCGTCGCCCCCCCGTCGCGAGCACCCACCTGCCCGCGGGGCTGTAGCGCTGCCGGCTCCGCTTCGCAGCGCCCGACGATCCCTGTCCCGGCAGCGCCCGCGCCCGAAAGGCCAGCTCAGCGGCGGGGCTGCCCGCCAACGAGATGGCGGCGCGAGCGCCTCGCCGGCTACCTTGCCCTTCCCCAACATGGCGGCACCATGGCCTGGCTGCTGTCGCCATCTCGGCTAAGGGCACCCACGCCTCGGTACGGGCTTCCGCCCGCATCCAATATGGCGGGCGGCCTGAGTGAGGCTCCCGGTAGTGGGCAGGCCCCTCCCTGGGGCGGGCCCTTGCGGGGTTAGCGCTGACTCGCCCTTCCACTAGGTGCTGGCGGTGGAGCGGGGGACGGGCAGCTGTGATCATCCCCCCAGCCAGCTCTCTCTGCGCTGGCCATGGGTGCGGCTCCCCGGAGCTTCCCTCACCTCGCCCTTCGGCCCCCTGGGGTGGAGCCCACACGGCAAACATGCTCCCCACCCCACAGTGCCACTCTGAGGGGACCCGTGTCCTGGCACAAACCATCACCCCACTAGGGTGACTAGACAGCAACTGTGAAAAATCGGGACATGGGGTGGAGGGTAATAGCAGCCTATATAAGAAAAAGACCCAAAAATCGGGACTGTCCCTATAAAATTGGGACATCTGGTCACCCTACCCCAGACTCAGAGTAGCTATACCATTAGGCCAGGGGTAGGCAACCTATGGCACGGGTGCCAAAGGCGGCACGCAAGCTGATTTTCAGTGGCACTCACACTACCTGGGTTCTGGCCTCTGGGGAGCTCTTCTTAAACATTTTAAAAACCTTATTTACTTTAAATACAACAATAGTTTAGTTATATATTATAGACTTATAGAAAGAGACCTTCTAAAAATGTTAAAATGTATGACTGGCACGCGAAACCTTAAATCAGAGTGAATAAATGAAGACTCGGCACACCACTTCTGAAAGGTTGCCAACCCCTGCATTAGGCTAACACCATCTCTAACACATTCAATTCAACTCAGTGCTCTCATCAAAGAACTCAGAATTACCCTGCAACTTGCAACCTTAACTTTGACATTCCAACCTATTCTATTTAATCATCTAAAGACAATTATAACCATTAAGACAATCTTTGCACCTTCACATACAGTACAGCAGACAGAGAACCCAAAGGCTGATTACATTCTCAAATGTTCTTACCGTATCAAAAATACAAGCCTGTTCTATATAATATATTTACACGTCTTTCAAAAATTACATCAGCTATCCAATACATACTGCTAAACAAAACCATACACAACCATTATTGAAATGTATGCATACACACTTAGGTATATTGATAATATTATCTACTGAAAATAATAATAGTAATTTGCGTTGCATTCGTGTCTGTGGACCCACAATCGTGGCCCCATTGTGCTAGGCCCTGTACAAACATCCAACGAAAAGATGGAAATCACAAAATTAAGAAGAAGAACTCTGTGTAGCTTGAAAGTTTGTCTCTCTCTCGCCAACAGAAGTTGTTCCACTAAAAGGTGTTACCTCACCCACCTGGTCTCTCTCATATCCTGGGAGTTGGGACCAACATGACCACAACACTGCAAACAAAATTCCCAAGTAGCAGGTAAGGCACTAGCTTCCATTGTGATTTTCACGTCTTTGATGTGTTGCTTTTGTCTCCTGAACTTGTTCTTTGGGGCTTCTAAATTAGCTCATTTCAGAGAGGAACAAATGACAGCAACGACCACACTGCGAATAATTTTCAACCAAGAAAACTACGACTCCCAAGATGCCTCCTTTCTGCCTCCATTTCCCATCATCCCCTCTTCTTGGCTTGAAACAGTGTTTCCGCTCCTCCTGCTGCAACGTTGCGGCATGTTCCAGGTGCGGCCGCAGCTTCGTCCCACTAGAGCTGTAATAGTGCCTGGGAACGGGTCAGGCGATATAGAGAAATCCAACTGGTACAGATGGGTGTGGGAAACACTAGAGGAGGTGAGACATGGTGATGACAAAAGGTTTGATCTGACTATTTATTTACTTTCCTCCCACCAGCTGTTTGGAACACCCTGGATCAGCCACCTGGCTTCTTTTCCTAGTCAAACTGTGTGCCCCAGTCTCTGCTTCTCTTTTGTGAGGTTTAGCATATAGGTTCCCTTTCTTTAAATCCACAGCTGGCAAGCAGGAGGGGGACTGGGGAAGGGTCTCAGCCTGGGGAAGGGTCTAACTTTTTTTTCGCGGACCACTTTAAAATTGCTGAGGATCTTGGTAGACCACTTAATGATCTTTCCAAATGCTGTTTGTACTGTTAGCTAACTATTGTAAAGCACTTTGCATAAAAGCGCTATATAAAAAAAAAACTTAATAATAATTAACTTTTTTGTTCTACAAATAAAAGCACACAGTGCATATTTTAATATCAGTAGTCTTACCTTTCTAATGTGATGGATGTGCCCTCTCTCCCCCACTGCAGCAGCCCCCAAGTTGGGGCTGGGAAGGAGGGGGTCTCTTCCCTGACGCAGCAGTCCCCAAGCTGAGGCTGGGAAGGAGTTGGTCTCTCTCCAGCAGCCGCAGCCCTGGAGCTGGGAAAGTCAGTTCTTTCTCTGGCCGCCACAGCCCTGCACGTCCCAAATTCCCCCCACCCCCCCCTCCCCCCCCCCCCCCCCCCCCCCAGGCCACCACCTCACCTTACATGTGCATCTTCTCCAGGGTCCAGGCACCTAATTAGTGGAGCCACGCCTGTGGGGCTCCACTAATTAGGTTGGTGGCCCTTCATTCTCTCATGTGCGGCCGCCCAGGCGCGCACTTTAGAGGGAACTATCCACGCACCACCTGAATGGAGCTCGCCGACCACTGGTGGTCCACGGACCACAGTTTGAGAACCTCAGGTCTAGGCAGAACATTTGCAGTGAAGCAGAGAGAGAGAGAGAGAGAGAGATCATATTGTTTTTCTTACTCTAATAAACTTCCTTGTTCAGCATTAGAAGTAAGCGACTTTTTCTATGATTCTTGGCTTTGTCATATAACATCCCTTCCCTCCCCTCCCCCCCAGGCTTGTTCAGAGTTCCCTTTTGGGGGAAGATCAAGCATGCTGATTTGAATGATGCATGAAGGATGCAGTGTATGATGTTTTATTGCTCCTCTAGGGACTCTCACCTGGTTCCCTGTAATTCCACTCGGGTATTTCTGTTATGAAGTTCAGCCATTTGACCTCATACGGAGGAGAAAGTTAGCACAGAAATAAGGGATCGCTCTTAGTGAGATGCAAGCACAAGAGTGCAGTGATTGGTCACCCAAGGGAGAACCCCAAAAGGTATGTTTGAGAGAGATTGCTGGTAATTCAAATGAGGAATATTTGTAGAATCAGCAATCTCTCTCCACCCAGGGTATAATAATTCGCAGTGTGTACAGTGCTTTACATTAGGTAAATACTAGCTACTCACTCTTCTCCATGTTCCCCAGTGCACCCCAAGTGTTTAACCTTTCAACCTGACACGCTGTAGCAAGGCCCGTCTTTATAATCCTGAAGACCCATTGGAGGAAAGCATGCAATGCAATAGTTGGCTAACTTTGCTTGCTAAGGGACTGCGCAGCCTTTGACAGTGCGATCATTGGTCTTCTCCACACAGATACCTGGTTTCCAGTGTATACTTCGAAATATGCCTGACCCAAGTAAGTCTGTTTTTTCTTGTCCCCTTATTTTGCCTTATCCCATGCGCAATACACCTCTACCCCGATATAATGCGACCTGATATAACACGAATTCGGATATAACACGGTAAAGCAGCGCTCTGGGGGGGCAGGGCTGCACACTCCGGCGGATCAAAGCAAGTTCGATATAACGCAGTTTCACCTATAACGCGGTAAGATTTTTTTGGCTCCCGAGGACAGCGTTATATCGAGGTAGAGGTGTGTTTCCAGAAAATGAATATGAGCCTGCACTATCTCAGTGGCTGTCTTCATGCTTGGGGAGTTGCTGCACCCCCAGCCCACAAGGAGATCCATAGTCCATAGCCTGCTCAAATGCTTTAATGGGAAGAGGGCTTGGGATGCTCATCTGAATGCTACGTGCACATACTGTGATGCAAAACATTGCTCGTGCCCAGACATTACACTACATGCTTGGCTAAGTCCTGCAAGCCCCAGCAATTCCACAGGGCCCCGAATGAGCTGGAGAGCTTGGTGGGGAAATGTTCCTGAAAGCTGATGTTCCAGAGTGCTATTTCTGCCAATAGTTCTAGACTAGACAAATAGTCTCTGTCTCAGCCGGGTTTCCAGCAGACTGGTGTCCACAATGCCACCACCATCATCAGGACTGGTCTCTTTGTTGGCAATCTCAGTCAGGAGGCCAAAGACTGAGCCTTGGAGGTTAAACCACACACTGACCTTACACCTGGCAGCTCCATGTGGAAGCACTTTGGTGGGGTAGCATGGTTGGAATTTGCACAGCTGCAGTGTACACTTGACGCATACTGGGGATAAACAGAGGCCTTTGGTCTCCAGGGCTGCTAACCTATCCCCTTTCACAAGCACTAAATACACTGAGAATTAAATAGAGAGAAAATCCCTGAAAGATACGCACACAGAGCATGCCAGCCGGGGTGGGGAGGAGGGGAAGAGCTCATTCTTTGCCAGATCAGGAAACACAAAGCAATTGAATCATTTCTCTAAAAATCAGTTACAGCTCGAGAGAGAATCTGGCTGCCGTTCATGGAATCAGAACTCCATTGCGATGAGCAGACTATCGTTATTGGACACAGTTCTGGTGCTGCTGCTGCCATGAGGTACAGTACAGGGGACATTGCACAAAGCTTCATGTTTCGCACTCTAATGTGATCAGGCCCATTTAAGCTAATGATCCCAGTTCTGCTTGACTTGAGCTCAATGGCAAAACTACCCCCCGGCATCAGTGTGAGTAGAATCCTTTTAATGGGATTAGAACCATGCGTAAGGGATTCAGGATTGGCTCTGTATTGGACCGCTTATCTGCCATTGAAGAACTGGACATGTAACAATGGGGACAGAATGCCACGATAAAACACCCCCAACTAAATCGAATGTAATGGTTTGGCTGCTATGGCATTACACGAT